CACACACACACACACACACACACACACTTTTCTCTTTCTTTCTCTTCTGAATAAAGTCAAAGGAGAGAGAGAGAGAGATAGATATAGGTGAGAGGACACCAGACCTGCAGGGGAGGCAGCCCCAGAAGGGCCGTGAAGAGACCTCAGTGGTGAGGGGCACAGTCTAGGCTGGGCTGAGTCACTGGGGCTGTAAAGTCCTTTAGGTCCTCAGTGGATGTGTGGTTCTTACCAACCCCGGTTGCAGGAAGAAAACAACCTTTAAAGCAAGGTTTTTAAACCTTTTATAAATTCTTTTTTAGAGTTACCAGTGCTCTGCTGGGAGGTCATTTCCCATGGCCTGGGGATATGATGCCAGCACAGAAGGCTGCAGGAAGGATAAAAGGGAAACAAAAAAATGTAACCAGAAACTAGGATTAAGGGGCATTGATTCAGGAACCAGGCAGGGTGCCTTCTCTGGGCTTCTAGACTTCTGTTGCATCAACTTGCTGATCAGAACCCACTGACAATCCCTCAGTTTGCAGCCCCACTGGGGTGGGAAGGCACAAGCTTAAGTAGACTTGGGCCCATAAGGTGTGGAGCTAGAACAGGACTTGTAGGTGGAGGGGGCAGAGAGAAGGGCTCTCTCCTTTGAGCAGCCCTGGGCTCTCTTCGGGTCTTTGCCAGGAGATGGCAGTGAACCCCCGAGTCCACCACCCTTACGACTTCGTTTCCTCCCGTGCAAACCGAGAGGTTTGGGCCAGGTGGTCTCTGTTGAATCTAAGCTCTCTGCCAACCACTTCCTCTGCCCTCTGCTATCTCAGCCTCTAATAGCACAACCAAGGGACAGAAAGTCTAGCAACCATTTAATCTGGGGCACAAGTAGGCTCAGCTCTCAGCTGAACCCCAGATACCAATATGAAATCACAGAGACCAGAGGGAAAGTTTTCCCACCGTCCTCCTAACCCCTGATCTCTCCAAAAGGGAGGCTGGGAAGAGGCACTGCTTTCCTGCATCATCTGCTTATCATCTCCCATCTCAACTGAGAACCCAGCCTTGGAGGCTTCCCAGAAAACCTTTTCCTGTGCTGACTGGAAAAAGCAAAGCCACAGACTCCAGGGTAGGAGGAGCAGGGAGCAAGGGTTTCAAAGCCAACACGTGAGAGAATGACACAGGGCCCAGCTGCAGACACCCAGGTCTGAGGCCAGATCTAACTCCTCAAAGTCAGGAAAAGAGTTCCGGAAGTCCGTAGTCGGGGAAGTTTACAAACGTCATATGAACACCCTGTGCTGCTGGCCTCAGGCACTTCATTCTGCCCAGGCAGGGCTGGGGCAGCCTTCCAGGACCCCTCCCACTCCAGGGGACCCTTCTCGAGCCCACCCCCAGACTGCACTCAGAGCAGCGGCCTGGCTTGGGGCTCTGGTTGGGCCAGCCGTGTAGGAAGCTTGTCAGGAGACGCTGTTTATTTTTGTTGGCCGCCAAGAGGTAGGAAAAGTTGAGCAGATGTCACAAGGGAGAGAATTAACCAGCTGTGGGGAGGTTCTCCAAGGTTCTGCTCAGAGAATGGGACCCCTGGTGCAAACAGGAAGGTCTGGCCCATGTATTGGGCAGGACAGGGGTGGGGACTGCCACTGAGATCACCCCAGGGTGATCCCACCTGGCTGGGAGGGGGCAGCTCAGCTACGTGGTGGGCTGCGGGCCCACCCACCAAGCCCAGATGGATTGAGTTGCGTCAGGCCAAGGTCCCGAGAGAACAGGGCCTGGGAGGGATGTGTTGTGTCTTGCATACCCCAGAAATGAAGGGACAGCTGGGCCTTGAACCCAAGGCCTCTAACTTTGAAGCCACTTCTCTTTCTGCTCACTTTCTCTAACTTCAAAGACAAAGAAGGCAGGGCGTGAGGCCACACTTTTTAGGAGTATGGATCGTGCAGCTGCATCTCCCGTGTCTGCCTTTGAGATCTGCCACCAATTAGTCACTTAGCCTCTCTCCGGCTTAGTTTCCTCAGCTGTGAACGAGAACCTTCCTTTGCAGTGCCGTTCAATGACCCGGAGCAGTGTCAGGACCACGGCAAGCACTCAGCACACATTGCTCTGGTTGTCAGATGCCGTCAAGTTGGCTCCAACTCACAGCGACCGTATGTGCAACACCTCAAAGCAGTGCCGGTCCTGTGCCATCCGCTCAGGCACTGCTGCTACATTTGAGCCCCTTGTTGCCTACAATAAATATGAGCTGTTACTACTGCTATTAGTAAGGGTTGTGTCAAGTTGGAACGGACTTGTCGCTGACCCTCTAGCAGGTTTCCAGTGGCTGTAAATCACAAAGGAAGAAACGGCCCATCTTTCTCCAATGGAGCAGCTGGTGGATTTGAACCACTTACCTTAGTGTTGGGAGCACAACTACTTACTATTAAGCCACCAGAGGTCCCTGTTACTAAAGGTTGTTGTGTACTGTGAAGTCAAAACCCACCGATAGCTCACTCTCCAGAGGGTTTTCTGAGGCAGTAAGTTGTATGTCAGGAGATTGCCCATTTTTCTCCTGTGGAGCAGCTGAACTCAAATTGTGTGCCTTTAGGATTGCAGTGAAGGTTCTTACCACTAGGTAGGAAGCACTTGTTGTTGTTGATTGCGGTCGAGTAGAGCGCAACTCACAGTGACTCTATGAACAAAAGACCTAATGCCTTTCCATAACTATTGTCATTTCTCCAAATTCATTGAGTTTCCAGAGGCATGTGGTTTAGGACGTGGCTGACTCTCTTGCTTCCAAACCTGTTTTACAACTGGGAGCTCCACTAAACACTGACCACCTTGGGAAGCCATTCTGGTATTTGATACCCCAATGGTACAAGGTTCAGCATCACGGCAAACCCAGGTTACTTCATACAGCACACTGACAAAGAGTGATGTGCAAAGTGGAAGCGTGTTCCTCCAGATATAACAGCACTAGTGTCACTTAGCAGTGGTTAAGCGTCGTCAAGTCAAATACGACTGAGGTGGAAGCCCTTAGTACCAAGTAAATTCCCCACACCCCCAGTTGCTGAGCCTGAAACAACCCTTGGGCCAAATGATCCTAAATCTCATTCCAATTTACCTCCTTCTTCCCACACCCAGAGATATTACCCTTTTCATTCTCTCAGTTTAATTGGGATTTGTTAAACTGAGTTGCATTTATCAGTTTGTCAATTATTTGACAGTTACTGGCACTTTCGGATTTCTCAGAACAGCAGTTTGGTGGGGGCATGCAAACATTTCTTTTGAAGCTGGTGGTAGCCTGACCAGCCTGGGTGTGGTTCTTTTTCAGCGGGCAGGGCCCTGGGCCATCTGTGAACCCGGGGAGGTGAGTTTGGCATTTCACATCTGCCATAACCTTGACCTTCCTCTACTCTATTTGTTTAGGTCACTAAAAAAGTGTGAGGTCCTCACAGATAAGAATTGCTTTACACAGCTTTTAAAGGTGGAGCCTGGCCTGCACAGGTGCCTGTGCAGGACCAATGCCAGTGTCTCTCTGTGGTCGGCTGGGGAAGGAATCACTTCTGTCCACATCCCATCCTGTAACATGGCAGGTGTGACGTTCATTTCATAGGTCAACTTAGCTACGCTGTACTTCCCAGTGATTTGGCCAAGCAGCAGATAAACTGTAATCTACTGCAATCAATCAGTTAAAAGGGGAATTCCTTAAGGCGTGTTCTGCCTCTAGAGGATATACAGAGATTCTGGCAGAAACTGTACTCTCTCCTCTGCATTCTTCCTGCCACCTGACCTCTGGGCTTAGACTTGTCAGCCTCTCCTTATCCCTTAAGACAGCAGGAGTCGGCTGCGGATTTTAGACGCTAACCCTCCACAGTTCTGTGAGCCAATTCCTTGACGTCCATCTTTGTCTCTTGACCTTTCACTTAGCAGAACCCTGGGACTGGCTCAGAGCTGATCCTCTAGCAGGTTTTCTGAAGCTGGAGATTTTCAGAGAAGGAGATTGCTTGTGTTTCTCCCATTGAGCAGCTGGTGGATTTGAACCGCCTGCCTCTGGATTGGCAGTGCAATTCCTTACCACTAGGCCACTGGAGCTCCATATACACGTATCTCTATCACTGGGTCTGTTTCTGTGGCGAACCCTGGCCAAGAGAGCAGGACAAGAGCCTGGGACCCGCTCCCTTGCTTGCAGCCTCTTACTTGTACACTTTGGTGTTGTAAGTCTTTTCCCCAGGGAAGCCGAACATGCCGCAGACCACGTGAGAGTTCTGAGCTGTCCAGTGCTTGTCACAGATCTGCTTCCAGGTCTTGCCGTCCTTCACCTCCACGTAGCCCTCAGTCACCGGGGTTCGCTTGCGGTAGGCTGAGAGGATGGCTCGGATCCGGATGTCCTCCACCTGGATGTTCATGTTCTGGGAAGAGGAAGGCATGGGAGGAGAGGGGTTATGTTCCTAGTACAGTCATGGAGAATCCCCTATCCACACACCTCTCTTCAGTGACTGCAGACCCGTGCTCTGTTCACCCACCTCCACTTGTCACCTTCTGACAAGTACACAGGAGCTGACAGCAACCAAGGTCATGGGCACACAGTGCTACACTGTGGGAGGCACACAGACAGTGTGGCTGCAGGGACCGCTGGAGGAGAAAAAGTGTGCCCTAGACCAGATAGAGACATGAAGGAAGCACTCTTGGCCTACCTCTCACTGTGAATGACTCCTGGGGCCACTTCTGTCTACATTCTACTAAGAGATCTGGAGAGTACAAGGCCAACAGCCTCCTTCCACAGGGCTCCCCAAACAGGAGTCTGAGAGAAGAGATGTGCTCTCTGAATTTTCATTTTGTATAATAAAAGAATTCACACTTTGCATTTTACTTCAAAGTGTGTAAGTATGTGTGTGTTCCACTAATCACTGAATAAAAGCTAACTTTCAGGCATTCTACAGTTCAGGCTGGCAATTCTCATTCTCTCTTCTGCACACACACACACTCTCTCTCTCTCACACACACACACACACACTCCACTGTTGTAGATATGAACCACCAGAGAGGCCCAGCTTTGGGTCAGCAGCATAACTCTGCGGATTACGCCACCAGAGCTCCCTCATAGCATACTGTTGTTGTTATATGCTGTCAAGTTGACTACCACTCATAGCGACCCTATGAACAACAAATCTGAAACCGCCTCTATTTTGTGCCACCCTCATTATCTCTAACACACTTGAGTTCACTGCTACAGCACTCACAATCCAAGTTCTGGGTCTCCTCTTCTTCTCACCCTCCACCTTTACAAATAGGATGTCCTTCTCTAAGAACTGCCCCCCCCCAGCAACATGTGCAAAATATGTGAGCGTACTAGAGGTGGGCATTCTTCAGCTGGGAGACGTGGGAAGAACAGTGCAAGCTGTGTGTGGAGCATGTAGTGTGCAGGACCCAGGCCTGTCTGGAAGTCAGGAGCATGCAGGTACCTAGAGGCAGTGTGGTTAGGTGCCATCACTTTGCCATGCCTAGGAAAGGAACAACTCTGCACACACATTACCTTTAAATCAAAACCAACTCCAGTGACCCTCTGGCAGCTTTTCAGAACCTGAAAACTGCGTGGGAGGAGACTGCCCATCCTTCTCCCAAGGAGCCACTAGTGGGTTCCAACTTCAAGAGAAGTGTGGCCTTTGGGCTAGCAGCATAACACCCTACAGACGATGATGCCACCACAACTGCCATGTCTGCATGTGTATTGTCGTTATATGCCATCAAGTCAGAACTGACTCATAGGTGACCCTCCAGCAGGTTTTCAGAGGAAGTTAATTGCATAAGAGGCTTGCTCATCTTTCTTCCTTGGGGCAGCTAGTAGATTTGAACCATGTACCTTTGGGCTTCATGACTGATTCCATCTATTTCCTCGAAGACCACTAAGAGGCAAGGTGGTGCATGAGACCTGCATAAGACACATCCTGGGCCCACAGAGAAGATGTGCACTGGACCAGACAAGGACGGAGGTGGGGCTGCTCTGAGCGGGCTGACAGGAAGAATCCAGAGACTTGAGGGCCCCAAGTCCTTGTCCAGCCAGAATGCAAATCAACCCCAAGATTGAACAGAAGCATTATCTGGGTGCCCAGGGATTCATGTCTCTTCACCACTGGCTTTCAGAGTCCAGAGCCAGGCCTGGCTTCACAAGTCCTGCAAGGTGGTGGAAAATATGTGGGCCCAGAGAGCTGGTATTTGGCTCTGGTGCTTCTCCACAGAGCAGAAGGGAGGCTGCCAGTGGTGGAATTATGTTTTCCAGCCTGGGTTCTGGCTCCCCACAGCTCCCATTCAGGCCACAGGGCCCAGGCCACATAGTTATGTGGAGAGGGATGGAGGATGTGTTGGCAGGGTGGGGGTAGGAGCAGGAAAGGGCCCGAGACAGAACCCTGCCCTGGGCCAGCCCCCTCGGCCTCTTCCCACAGCAGGAGGCAGGGCTGGGATTCCAGGGAGTGATGCGTAATGTGGAGCAGGAAAGTTACTGCTGTGTATCAGTACCCTGTGGCTTCACAGGAGGGAGCTGGCGGGCTGGGCCAACTTTACTCATTCACAGGGCCTTTCCCTCACAGTGCCTCCCCCACTGTGTGGCAGCAAAGCCCCCAAGAGAAGGGCTGTACTGGCCACGGTCTGAATCCAGCAGACACTCAGCTCAGTGGCTGCGGCATCCCTCCTTGCCTCATCTTTGCAGGTCAGCGTCCCCTCAGTGAACAGAAAACAGAGCCAGGAGGACTAGGGCCCAGGAGTCGCTGTCTTGTCCCTCTACCATCTCACTGGGCATGTGTGTGCACACATGTCTGTCTGTGTTTGTGTACCCTGCATCCTGTGTATCTATCTCTTCTTGCATCTGAGTGTCAGGTGTGTCTGCATCATGTATGGAGGGTGGAGTGTGTCTGTACATGACGACGTACATGTGACTGTGACAGCTGTGCATGTGTGTGTTTCATGTGTGTGTCCACGAGGTGCATCTCATGATGTCTATGTGACAGTTGTGCATGTGTGCCACACTGTCTCTATCTCGTGTCTGAGCATGTCCCTCTGTGGAGCGTGTATGTGTTTGTGTGCACTGTGGCATCTGTGTGTCTGTACAGGCATCTTTGTGTATGCACTGGAGTCTCAGCGTGACTCTATTTCTGCGTGTGTGTGTCTTGAGTATCTGTGTTTCAGCATCTATGTGCATGATGCTGGAAGTGTGACAGTGACAGCTGTGTGTATGTGCTTTTGCTTCATGTGTGTCTTCATGTTTCTTTGAACATATGTCTGTATGTGTATCTGTGTGTCTGTCTCTGTGTATGGATCTCTGTATGTGTGCATCTCTTTGTGTATCTTTGGATGTTAATCT